CTAGTACAGTGCCAAGTACTATGCTAAATATATTTCTAATGAAAGGTGTATCACACAAGACAAACTGATTCTCAGTATGCAGCCTAGTCCATTATCTCAGCCCCAAATTAAGGGGCTGTTATGAAACAGGTATTTAAACTCTATTTGCTGTTTCTCCTTAGTTACATATAATTTCCCTTTTCCACATTTGCTGAGAAAGCTATTTATAGCTGCCACAAACTCAGACTTTTAACAAACTGTGTCTTTTATCTCAAAATAAGCACATAAGGACTTCATGCTGTAGCTACTTCATTAATTATGAGATTGGTGTTCTTGGAACTCTGCGGCACACACAAACTATCGGTGCTTACACTGGTGAGATCCCTCTTACCCACAGCTGACCTCGCGTGTGCTTCCACCTCAAGGCAGAACCCTCGGGTTACCATTCTGCAGCTGTTTGTTCCAGGGTTAGAGCAAATTAGAAGCTGTAAACATAGCATTTATGATACACCGACAGAAACAAATGCTGAGTCTGGTGAAATGCTGAGCAATGGCCCCCTGTCCAGGATAAAAAGCCCTTGTCCATGACTGGACGCCCAGAGGCTGACAATTAGGTGGTTTCTGACCACAAGACCAGTGAAGTTCAAAAGCAGCTTCCAAATGACCACAGTGGAATGCAAAAAAAAAAAAAAAAAAAAGTAACTGCTTGCTTTTAAAACAAGAGGGTGGTGTATCTGTAAAGAGAAGAAAGATTATATGCATGAGGCTTACCCCAGGCAGGGACCAGACAGAGCAAACCAGAAGGTCCCACTCAGTCCTGCATTTGGTTTAAGGACAGGAGAAAATTACAGAATTTCTTTTGCTTCTGGGCAGTCATTATTTACAAGTGTATGCATAATTATCTGTTTGGGACCTTGCTTGTTCCCAAAAAAATAAAAAATCATGTTTTAAACATAAGCAGAACTGCCTTTTGCTACCAGAAACTCTTCAGCTATGAATAACTCCCTGTCAAGGCGCTGGGTAAGAAGATCATACTTCCAGCTCCCCTCCAGCATGGGGAAGGCAGAGGGCAAGGGGATGGGAGAGGGGGACACTGGCTCGGCAGGTGTACTACAGAGACACAGGAGCATCACAAAAGGAAAAAAATGTTAAGAACATGAAAAAATATTAAATAGCCCTTAGTTATTTTGATGGCATTCCATCAGAATATACAGTTGTGGATAGTTTTATTTCTAAGAAGCAAGGTTACACCAAGCTTGCCTTTAGTTTTATGTAAGCTTTTATATTAAACCTTATTTGAAATGTAATTCTATGATTAGCTGTTGCCCAGCCAACCTAGGGAATGCAAATACAGACTGTGTCAAAAAGAGTCTCATAGCTCTCAGCTTTCAAGGGAAGGTAAAGAATGGAGCAGTGTATCTTAGTTCTCAGCTAGAGGCTGAGACACAAGCAGAATATTCTTCCTTTCAGCAAAGGGATATAGGCAGCAGCATCCAAGAAAGCAGCAGGAAGCTGGCAGTGGATATAAGGCATTGCATCGATCTGAACAGATGATCTCCTGTGAGAAAATACCTTTATTTATTCAGGCAGACTACACGACTTGGCTGACTGGCACCATGACAAACACAAAAATGGCAGCATTCTAAATGGGACATGTTCTCCCATTGAGTGAGGCTTCAAAGGAGGGAAAGAAAAAAAAGAGAGAAAAAAAAGGGCTAAACAGCACTTAGAAGCACCGCATCATTTCCTTATCACAAAACTCCTGTTGATAACCCAGTGACTTCCACTGTGGAACAAGGAACCTGCTGCCAACCACATCTGTACATTAGCATAGCTACAAGGGATAATTAGAGGAGTTCTCCCTCCTCAGAACAACCCTGACACTAACCTGTTGTGGGAAGAATTGCTTGGATCATGCAAGGTGCTGGTGCCCTTTTGGAAGGCAAATGCTACTTACAGCCCCACGCTGCTGTTTCATTCACATGATCTTTAAACCTCAAAAAAAAACATAGCCCAACAGCACAGGCAGTGCATACGAACACAACAGGAAACTGACCTTGAAGGGAGCCCTCTCTGTGACAAGCACAAAAGAAAACAGAGAAATTGAATGTATTGTCAATACATACCCATGAAACCTGTGGAGTTGAGTGCCCTAGTAAACTAGGCAAAGAGACTGTTTTATACTGAAATATGAAGACACAATCCTTCCTAGATCTTTTCCTGCTTTCTTCCCTTTTTTGGAGACTTATTCGATGCATCTTGCAGAGTGTGTGTCAAGGTAATGCAAGTGAGGGTGAAAAATCATTTAACATGGAAGTTGACCTTACTATTCTTTTAGTCTGCTGTGCAACATAAAGGGAACTGCTAGTTTTTGCTGAACGCTAGTCATGTACTATGCAAAAAGAGAAAGGAGGATAGGTAATAGAAGAGAGACAACTTCCCTGCCAAGTTTCGTGCAAAGCAGAACATGTAAGAAGCACTGATCTGTAAACAGAAGTACAGTTAGAATCACCCTTGATCTACCATGGAAACAAACAGATGTCACTGTGCTTTCCAAGGACCTTTCTCTACGTATCCCTTGTGTCCTGTGAAGATAAAATTGAGTCAATTAAATAAACTAACAGAATGCAGAAACTTCTAATAGAAAATAACCTAAAAATACGAACACCAGGACACATGCAGTTAAACCTAAAAAAAAATGACCTTCTGATGTCCTCTTGAGAAAACGGCTGCAAAGACACATCCTAGCTTAATACATTAGCAGTTTTCAGCACAAGACCATAAAACATTAACATGCCTCCAAAAGACCTTCATCCTTCCGTACGCTATGTCTAGAGCCTCAGGAATAGTGCTCCCTAATGCCACAGAGGCCAAATGAGATACATTTTGTCATCTTACCACATTTTCCACATGCCTTGTCAGTCAGTACCTTCAGATAAAGTTTTTTTGGTTCTTTTTCCTAGACTGGCACAGCTTCAGAAGCATAAACTTTAGATGAGACCTTACTGAAGGGAGAAACACCTTTTGATTAAGAGAAGTCCCCCTAACTCTGGGAGACTTTTGGCTTGCTTTTGTGTTAGCCTCTTGAAACCTCTGCATTGCTCTCAGGATGGACAGACTGGTCCTCATGGCACAAAGGAGGCAGGAGGAATGAGAGTTTTGCCATTGATTTTGGCAAGGCCAAGGCTCAATGAGAAGTGAGCCATCACGTGAACTCTGTGAACTTTACGACACTGACAGATTGACAGTCCAAAGGCCATTCTAATCACTAGGATGGGAGCACATTACCTGAGATGCCTCATCACAGAGACAGGTAGGCAGCTGAGGTTAATCTGTATCAGCTCCTTCACTTAACACAGGTGCTATGATAAATATGTATTTTTTTTAATGGCAAGCAATTTTCTGTTTTAAAAGAAGCAGGGATGACTAGCTTTTAAAATAACGAACCCTCCCCTGAGCGTTCAGCCTTGCTTGTATAAACTACAACAAAATTAGGACTGAAGTTAATCCAAACCTGAAATCTGTGACCAACGTTTTCTTTTGATGCTTTCCACCCTCCCACCTCTTTTACCTACAGTAAGGAAAGGTATGATGTAAATGCAAGCCGTAACACAGAAAGGGTCCTTAAAGGGGAGCAGAAACACAAAACAAACAAACAAACAAAAAAACCTACTGCCTTCTGCTTTTTTGTCAGCATGTCTTGAAAAATTGCTGTTTAGCGATATTTTATTACTCATAAAGAAAAATGGAAGTTTCTCAGCAAACTGGACATAAAAGCATCTAAGTCTAGTGATAAAGGAATTAAGCCTTTTGCTTTATATCTCTACAGAGAGAGTTCAAAGTATTTTTTCCTCTTCAAAAGATTTCCACTAAAAGGCCATAGGACAGAGGCTTCACTCAACGAGAAGTATCATGGAGAACTCTTGGACATCAACTAAGGAGATAAAGAGACCCTAATTGCTACTGCTGTTTTAAAAGACCAGAGGCAAAAGCATGCAATACTAAAGCCACTGTCTTGTCATCAGCTGACTTGGTACAAAGTCCCAGCATGCCAGGACACACATGTGGCAAGAGAGCAAGCAAAATTATATGGTAGGAGTATTTTTGTCGCACCAGTTTATTAGCCATATGTGTGCTTGGTTTTCTGAGTCTCCAAGTCTCACAGACGGCACTCGACACGTAAAGTTTCACTTCTGAAGTCCCACTGTTCTCCTAACGCCAAGAAACCAGGCCTCTGACCTACCGCCCCAACACAGCCGCCCCTTCGGCGGTTTTACGCCTCAGGACCAGACCTGTCCCCATGCCCCCTCCTCCCCTCCCTGTCCCGTCAGCACAAACGCCTCCCCGGCCCTGCTTACGGCTGCCTCGCCCAGCCGCCGTCCCTCGCCGCCTCGTCTGCCACAGCGGGGAGAGCCGGGGGGTGCAAAGAGAAAATGGCCGCCCCCTGCCCTCAGGCGGCAGGAGGCCAAAATGGCGGCCGGCCTGAGGAGGGGGCTCGGCCAATCAGGAGCGGGCCCGGGCCCGGGCAGGTGCTGGGGCTGAGGGGAGCGGGAACGCGGCTGAGGCGGCCCCGGATGAGGCGGCCCCAATGCGACGCCCCCCGACCCCAAACCGGCGGCCCTGCGGGGTCAGCACAGTGAAATTCCAGTGGGATCCCAAGCTAAACTTGCTCCTGGCTGCGTCTCCCATCCCCTTCCCCAGCTGGAGGCTCCGGGAGAGTCGCTTCGTTGCTAATTAGTTCCGCATGCTTTCACAGCCCTTTCTGACTAGAGACAGGGCTGATCATCAATCCTTCAGTGTAAATGACTTTGCAGTTGTCTGCAAAGTGGATATGAGATTATGTATGTAGGCCTACAGCACAGTCACTTCAATGTTTCCTAGAAATATTACAGTTGAGGAGAAATATGACACATTCAAGTGCTGTAACGAATGCTGTTTGTCTCTCTCCCAACGCCATTCATCGCAGCAGCTTGATTTATTTGCTGATTCTCAGGGTTGTGAATAATTGGTTTCTTAGATACTCTTTAACATGAAGCAAGTAGTTGCTTTATTGGAGTACATATATAGTAGGATCCATCAGCCTTGAGAAGCAGGAGCCCAATGAATTGCAGTGCCCATTATTTCTTCCACTGCACAACTGCCACTCTCCACCTTGGAGAGTGATGTACAAGGCATGAAAAAGCAGAGGTTGCAGAAAATGAGAGGAACAAGAGACAACATCCACAAAAAACACACTGCTGCTGCAGTACATTAGGCAGTTGCACTTGAGCAAAACCCTTAGGAAGGAGAAAAGGCTGCTTGTCCAGTCTCCAGGGTGCATGTCAGAGCTAACATACCCCAGGACCCACACAACTGCGAAGAATACCCTCCAGTGTAGGGCTTTCCCTTCACATACATGAAGATAATCAGCTCTCATTCTTTCATTAGTGCCCTTGTCCACGGAAGAGGCATCCTTAGGGTTCTCAAATCCTAGATAAGAATCCTGCTGGGGAAAAAAAAAAAACTGGGTCAGCTTTGTGACAGCCTTTCAAAACAAAAACAAAACCCTATGGCCTTATATGTATATACACTTTTTTTTTTAAAAAACCATGGTTTTAATTACTGAAGTATCCAAGGATTTGCTGCCTCTGAGCCTTTATCTGCTGTATCTCGGTCAAACCTCATAAGGCTGCACTTGAAATCACACTGCACTAAGAAAACAAATGATTAAAGCAGAGCAAGGGAGTCAGGGGATTAGTTTACTCTGCATGGCCTTGAGCAAGACATTTTTAGCTCTCGAGGCCCTAATCTTACAGCGATCTCTGGGCAGATGAAACACTTTAACGCCTCCACAAAGCACTCTTGCTTTTTCCTCATCTGAAAAATGTGGATAATTATACATACCTCTCTCTGAGAAAAAGCATCTTAATCATTAATCCACATTAAATGACTGGACACGTTGAGTTTGAAAACAAGTACCAAACCAAATTAACAGTTTGCAATGTCCCCAGAGTCAATAAGGTAAAATGGTGTTGCAAGCTCACAATCATCACTAGAAAAAAATATCTAACATTAAGAAGCTGTAAGTCTCTTCCCCTCCTAACAACCAGCTGTAACTACAAATAGAATACAAAAGATGAGTGCCTAAATGAATTAGTCTTGAACTGCATCCTCTATCTTGTTAAATGCAGGAAGCCTACACAGAGCAGTTTCAAAGGGACTAATGAAGGAGAAAAGCAAGCTCCTTGATCCCAGTTCTTGAACTGTCCAGCCCTTAGACAAAAGATAACCTTTCTGCAAACACAGGAAGAAAACTTGCAGCTGCCATGGCTTAAAATACCCTTTAAATAAAATGCAAGACTTGTCCTTCATCAGGACTAAGACAATCTCACTTCCATAAAGTATTATTCATTCGGTGTACTTAACATGAGACATCTCACCTGCCTTTTTATTGTAGGTGCAAGTCCGTATTAGTCTTACTAGCAGTTATCACTGGTTTTGTACTAGTTTTCTATTTCAGTACATGTATGTGTATGTATCTTATAAAATCACAAGCATTTTATTTGTACAGAAAATGAGATAGCTGCACTGAAAGTCTGTGCACCTTTCCTTGCAGGAAGTAAATAGGTATGAACTGAAAATACATTAAAAAAATAAAAGTGGGTTTTCAGCACCCTCTTGTGGATTAGTGGTGTGATAACCACACAGTAACAACCACCCAAGTTTTACTAAAACTTTCATCACAATTCAATGCTACAGAAAAGTTACTTTTGCAGCAGAACCACAATAGGGAATTTAAACGTGAATGGCAAAACTTTCTGACTGACGATCATTCTTAATACCTAAATAAAACCTGTGTCTTCAGTGCAAGCATCTCTTGTGGCACAAAAAAAAAATAAAAATCATGCAGATACACACTGGCTCTCATGTAATATACAAGCTATAATACTATTAGTTCAGTGGTGGCAGGGGGATCGTATTTCTTTTAAAACATGCATCTATGCCTGCAGGCCTAGTCAGGATCAAACCTGTTGTCATTTAGCGAAAAAAAAATGCCTCTGGTGGCAGCACAGAGTAAGTTTCCTTCCAAGAGTAAACAGGATGTTCTGCTTAGTAAGATGCCAACAGCCAGAAGCTCAACTCAGAACATCATGGCAATGCTTCTGTTGGGTCTGGGAACAAATAGAAGTCTAAATGTTGCTGCTGGGTAGATGTGTTTTTCTGATAAAATGGCTTTTTTTTTTCTTCCTGTGTGCCTGCAGTAAAATGCCTTGTGGAAGAGGACAGATGAAAGTATTTTGTTTTGTTTTGCTTTAAAAGCACACATATGTAAAGAATGCCAGTATCCCCTATAAGAAGCTGTTTTCCACACAATTTACATATCACACTAGATTTTAAATTTTACCCTGAAGAATTTACAAAAGCCAAGGAATACTGATACATATGCTAACTCCTCCTAATTACAGGTGAACAAAGCTTCCCCTCATTCACCCAGATTCTTATCAACACAATCATCTTTTGTATGTAACAGAATTTGATGAATGACGTGACCTTTGTGAAAATGTTCCAACTGTAAGGGTTTGCTTCAACATAACAGCTTCCAGCATGTTCTAATCAAATCCCCAAAGCAGTTTCAGTGCCTGTCTGAATGCATAACTGTAACCAGAAACCATTCACAATGTTGATAGCCCTCACAGAGGATTAATACATGCACAAGGTTTCCCAAGCACATCTATCAGTTTTTCCCTCTAAGGAACCCACAGGTGCTAAAATATGCACAGTGCTCCAGCTTTCCAGCTTTGCCTCCCACCCCCCTTTTGGACAGCAGCAGTGTAATTACTGCTCCAGGCATTTTGAAGCTTAAGATGTTTTTCATCACATGAAGATAATGTGATTCATACTAATTGCCATAGTTCAGTTCTGGAAGCAGAATTCTGCAGATATGCCACTTATGGCTCCTTATGGCTTTCGCTTTCACTACACCAACCTATGAGTCTCAATAATGTCAAGTCTCTCATTATCAAGGTGGTTTAAGAATACCTCTAGGTCACCATGCCTAATACCTACTGCAGTGACCACACATCTCCCACATATAATACTAATAACAAACTACAAATTCCCATCAACACGGATTTCTTCCATTTTGCACATCAGCAAATTATGTTGATTTTTTTTTTCCTTAAGTAGTATGATTCAGGCACATATGTACACAGTTATCTTTGAGAAGGTTAACATGGTTAACATTAGACATCAAAATACTGTAACCTCAGTTGTGGTTTTACTTTTGTTTTTTTTTTAAACATATAAATTCTAATATATTTCTGTCTTTTCATTCTGTGTTCCCTTCAGAATACTGTAAGCTTCTGTTACAACCTGCATCATTTGAGAAGTAAGTGTAAAGCACCTTCAGAAGCCTTTTGTACAGCAGAACAGCAGTTCAAGCTTTCTGTGTCAGGCCACAGGAGGCAGTATCTAGCTGTTTTCTGCTGCATTCTCCCCCAAGAAACTAGAAGCTACACAATACATTCAGATTTGCACAACTGTCTTTTATTGATGTTACATATAAATATGATATTAATATAAAAATGCAGAATTTTCGAAAGTATGGTAATAACTACTGGGTCTAAAATGTCTGTCAGGAAAACAGTTCTGAAAAATTTAGCAATATTTTAGATGGCTTCCAGGTCTATAAATATGATCACGCTCTTAGGAATTAAAATTCTTACTCACCAGAATTACATTTCTTGGTGACAAGGCAAAGTAGAGTAGGCTCCTGCTCCCTCATGGCTTCTTTCCACCATTCCTATCACTTGACAGAAGTTGCTGTGCAGAGGAAACAGGAGTAGCTCTGGCAAGCAGTTATCCCTGCAGCTGGCTGACATAATTTAGGACAGAGAGTACATTGATTTTCTATTTCACTTAATAGATCACACGTACAAAACAGATACAGCAATTGATTGTCCATCTAAATCAAAATTAATTGCACACACGTGGTCACACACTGCAACCTCTGCCAATATGATTTAGAATGGAACTAAGAAAACCTCAGCTGTGGAAAACATCTATTGCAGAACAACACACAACTTACCTGAACTTGCAGATATCATTCAGACCACTGAGAGAATGAGTATAAGCCAAAATTTTGATCATGTACACGAATTACATATATCCTACAATATGCAAGTTTTGAGACTCTGGCTCTTTTTCTTTTGTTTCTGGTCAGACGATTATCAGTTTGTCATTTTGAAATAACCTGATTACGTACATATTCTAATCTCCAGGTATATCCTTCCAAACTTGGGCCACTGTCTCTTCAGAAATGCAGCATATCAGACTCTAGCAGAATGTCAGTCCAACATACTTTAATTTACCAAACATTTCAATCTAATACTAACCACAATGTACATTGCTTTTCCTTAATATGTGTACTAACACGTACTGCTACACCTGTGTAGCTTGACTTGGGGTTTCTTTTTGTGCATTCTCACGATTAGTTTCCATTTTACAGTGGCAAAAGCAAGCCTAAAAACAGGTGTGTTTAACTTATTTCTATCTAATGTCAGTGTAAAGATTAGTGTCTTCATCCACTGATACACCATGTAATAGCCAGTACATCCATTGTTTTTTATCCCCTTAACATTTAAAACCCCGAAATACCACGTAGTTTCACAATGAAACTGATGGCAATAACTAGGTGTACAGATATAATATAAATCCTGTTGGGAATACAGGTCCTTAAAACATTTCTCTCTGCCTCCCCAGCTATACATTTTGAAAACAAGAAAGTTTTAAAAATATTTTTCAGAATGGTTTGTTTGCTTTCTGAGCACAAAACCAACCAACCAACCAAACAAAAACCCTCTGCCATACAAAGAATACTGTATCAGTTTATTATAATTTAGAAATAAAAGGAAAGTACTTTATAATAGTTTAAAATCCATTGCAATATCTCCTGTCTTTGTGTCAAAATTTATAGCATACGTGACAGCACTAGGAAGGTCTGCCAGAATTTCTGATTCAATAACAGAACTGAAGAAATAGACAGCTTGCTTGCAGTGGGGATTCCATTCACAGTTTCCCTACAGAAAAGAGTTAAAAGTGAAAGTAGTTACAACCGTAGGATATTATTACTGGACTATTAGTGGATATTAGTATTATTATTACAATGCAATGAGAGCACAAGAGTTCTTGTTCTCAGTTCAGTATAAAAAGACCAGATAAAAGTTATCACTTTCATTGCCAACCATTCATTACAGGAGTGCATAACTTGCAATCTAAAATGCCACACTCTGCACTGAAGTTGTAGACAACAGACAGACTTGGTCAAAGAACATTTACATAGAGTACCAAAAATACTCCTTCCCCTCCATTTTTTTGCTTTTGTTAAACTGAGAAAAGGAAGTTGTATAAAAGGAGTTGTATGTAACTTGTATAAATGCTATGTTGAACTAGCATCCTGAGTTCTGCATGTAGTTGATACTACAGCTCAGACTCTCTTAAAGTTCATCTCCCGCTCCCCCCAAAAGTATAAACACATAGCTCTACTAGTTCTGCCTATATAATATTCAAAGAGTGTAACAAAGAGCACTATATAAACCAAGCATAGCCAGCAGAGACCCATTTTTTAGCACTGTAATCCTACAGACTCTGAGAGATAATAAAAGTAGATTGAAGGAGTACCTTTTCATTTGAAATCTGCGTCAGTCCTGTACTAACTGAGATGTCAGCAGTAAGATGATATTCCATCCACAAAACTGCTCCATGGCTTTTTCCCTTCCTGAGGAGAGGTAAGGGATCAAAACCCATCATCATAACATTATCTTTATATAATACTGTATCTTAAACACTGAACCTATTCCTCACACAGCCTGGGTGAGAGCATGAATAACTTGTTTCTGTGTATAAAAGTTGAAGAGCAGAATAAATAAAATAGATAAATAGGTACATCTGGTAAATAGGTAGCAACTTTTTAAATACTTGCAGATATGAAATCTAAAAAATAAAATGAAGAGGAACATAAGTCATAACTAATCTTTTAAGAAACACGGTCATTTAACAAGCAGTCAAGATTACACAGCATATATTATACAGTGTATTTGGGGAGTACATCCTTCAGAGACCCCGGTTTATATTGTTTTTGCATTCTGGGGAAAACCACACATCCCGTCTCACTTAAAGTCTCTGCTCCAGAAGGGGCAAAGGTCATGCTAGCACGTTGCCTCTAAAATACAACCAGTGCAAAGGCACAGAGACCCTATATGCAGATGGTTCTGGATTTTGTGAAATCGTTCATTTGGTTTCACAAAGAGAAACATACAACTGCAATAGTGTTTAAGTTATGTAAACTAGATAGACAAAAGTACCTTCTTCCTATTTTTTAATTCTTAACTGCATTTCATTCTTAAATAGAAATAACTACAAACTGTAGTTAGATTATAGTTAAAAGTATCTCAGATGATGTAAAAAATATCAAGATTGTTAAAATATTGTTAAAGGGAAAGATAATGGACACTTCAAAGCTGTTAAACAGAGTAATATGGAAAGGTAAGTAGAAGCCTTGTCTGCAAGAACTCAGCAACAAGGAACAAATTTCATAATTAAAACCTTCTAGACAATAGTTTGTTTTCTATAAACTATAAATTAACCTGCTTATGTTTTAAATCATGGTAAAAGCTGACAAAATGTTATTTATGAAATAAGGGTATATTATCTGAGAAACTACCCTTACTGTTACAGCCCATTGTGAGTAACCATAGGAAATTTATGTCAAAGTGAATTCCACAACTTTAGGTTACATTTTTAAAAACTGTAAAGTACAATCCCACTAGCTAACCGTAACAAACACACAGTTTAAAGATGAGGTTAAAAAAAAAAGAAAAAAAATAATTATGGTGAGAACATTTATTGCAATGAGAAAACTCACCGTAAAAGATTTACAGAACCCTCTGTGCTGAGACAGTGTTGTGGTACAGTCTCTCTGAAGTCGAACACCAAAACTTCCAGGGGGTCAGAGAGTGATTTGCAAGGATATTCCCACAGAGGGTGAGGTTCTGCTTCCTTAGATTCTCTAAAATCGATAGAACTCTGAAGGAAAAAAAAAAGTAAAAAAAAAAACTATCTGAAAACAACTCAAAGGCAACTTGTCCTTGTTTTCAAGTTAACTTTGTATCCCAAACCCAGAATATTTAAACAATAAAGTTCCAAGAGAACAGGACTGTACTTCTTTAGCACAAGGGAAAAAATATAGTACATACATGAATTAATTGCTAGGACTACAGTTCTCAGTAGTCAGACAAAAACATGCACTTTCAAGATATAATGCATTTAAGCTTCTCTTCTCCCTTGAGATAACTCTACTCTAGAACTACCTGTACTCCTCCACAAAGACTAGAAAGGCAATCTAAATGGCTACCTCAAATATGGAGATAAAAATCTTGCCCATCATACCTGTTTCTTGGACACCAAAGAGCCTTTTTTTCTCAAAAGTACCTGCAAGGGCAAGTAAGTCCTGCAGGATTCATTTACAAACAACTCCCACCTGATTTTATTTCAAGCACAGGATTTTTCTTTTTGGATAATGGAAGCATTTTCAAGGCAAACTGAAAACCGAACAGCTTGACAAATGACAAGAAATGCACAATCCCAACACCCTTTTTACAAGAACTAAAGAGCCACAATATTTATGAGAAACTGAAACAATGCTATTCTGTCTAACATTCACGGTTTTAAACAGTCACTAGATAAATTTCTCCTTAAGCCAAGGTTAGTTTTGTTCTCTTTTGCTAAGACTTGTGCTGAAATTATTTTCAGTCTTCTTACTTTAATCATATCATCCATAGTCCGGACATCAAAACCTTCACAGATGCCACAAGGACTCCGGATTCTCCATAAGTCCTAAAAAGAAAAATAGGATATACTTCAGCTCTGTTACTGGAAATAGCTTTATCTGTGAACTCAGAACAACTGTTAGTAAACTGCATACACCTACTTAAAAACATTGATTGATTTGTCCTTAAACACCTGCTTCCTATTATATCATGATTCAGATTTACATTATTTTCTCATTTCATATTCTCTACACTTCTGCAGAAAACCGTGACAGGCATGTAAATGTACTCCGTGTGGGTGATTAGTCCCCCAGGAAAAAAGAACATACATGTTCTGAGATGCACAAATTAAAGGTGAAAGTGAGGCAACAAGGCTAAAGAGTACTAGAACAAGGAAACTACTAAGAGAAACAAGGCTCAGACACAAAACTACACAGTTGATGAAATCAGAAGGAAGAAAAGAGAGATTAAAAAGCTGGAATCTTGAAAAGATTAACTGAAGATTATGTTTATGTGAATATACCATGTTTTGTTTCATATTTTAGTGAATTTCAGACTAAATAATTCCCTCACTTTTGCTATTGGACAGAAACTTTGCATATTAAGTACTTCTGTAATTTCCATTGTCATTGTAAGCAAACTCTCAATAACCTTTACTGACCATCTTAGGGCCCTTAATAAAAAAAAGTGTACCTTTGTAAAACTTCTGAAAGATTACTTTTCAAAGTAGTATGACCCCTATTATGCCCAAGTTTAGAACTGTGTGCAGTCTCCAGTCATTCAAAGAAAATGAACATGCAATTATGAATCCTGCTTACAGTCTTACACTAAAAAAAAATCATTTTAAAAATTGTTATTTTACAGAATGTAACATTTTATGAATAACCACAGTTCTGACACGCTTCAGTGATAACCTAAAGAACTACTTTAAAACGTTCAGTCTTTTCAATGAAAATGGCAAAAAAATTCAAGGTAATTTTCTGATAAGGGATTGTTGATTTGGCAAAACTTATTTTTTCAAGATGTTCCTTATTCTTTCCTCAGGTGGTAAGTGCAAAGCATATCAAAGTGAACAGTATGAAGATAAGATAAACTTGGCATTAAAAACTCCTGAAAGAGTACTCAGTTTTAAGTGAATTCATATTAATATTAAGTGGTTCTGAACAACCTCACCTGAAACTCCACAATCATCATGTGCAAAGAGGCAGACTGAGGGAGGATGGTGACATTGCTGGCAAGATGCTTGGACACAGCTGTTCTAGCATACCAGAAATACAGGTTATGCCACGGCAACAAACTTGTAGTGAAAAACGGCTCTCCAACAAGAACGGAAATCTTGGCAAACAAAGGAAGAGATAAAAAGCATTATCATAAAGAACAACAGCTCCAACAACAACACAGGCTGTTTATAACTTCACTAGATGACAATGCTATACAGCAAGCACAGACACCTAGATAAAAACTTCTCCAAACAGATTTAATTACTGCATACACTGCATAACATAAATCTTTTTAGGGTTCTAGTCAGTGAATTCTAAAATGAAATTTCATGCAACAAAGTCCAATAAAAAAAAAAGTTGCAGTTTTCAGTTGGAAAGCTTTGGAAGAAGAGTCAGAGAGCTCTGAAAATTTTCATTTAAGGATGCTGGTACATCCTGATTGCGATCTATTGATTGGCTTCAGGAAGAACTACAGACTAGCAACACATACACAGTTAAACTGGTTTAACTGCTGTTAAAACTGGTATAGATTATGCAAGAAAGCAAAGTCATATCCTTTGGAAAACAAAGCAAAAAAATGAAAACCAACCCAAAGCCTTTAGATTAAGCTTTATTTAGTTTCAGTAAGAGGAAGTCTTAACTGTCAGCTCGCTACACTTTGTATGAACTGTGGTTCATTGTGGTTACAGTAGCACACAAGGAAAATAAAAGTCATTTTCACTCTCCCCTCCCTGCCAGGCCACTGAAATTCAGTACAGGACAACTATTACATACCTTTTTATCTTCCAAATGAGATGACGTCAGTGACTCAGGACGTGCTTCTAGTATTTTAATTTTATCTTCAAGATGATTTGCCTTAAAAAACTAAAATAAAAGTAATATTCTGTCTTTATCAAAATCTACACTTGAAATTCAAACCTGTATCAAAATAATAATTTAACAAAGAAAAAAATAAACACGAAAGAAATACCTACAAGAAATTTTAAGAAAATGCCTTCATTAACTCAGCCCTGAGGATGATACAAGCCTGTTCCTGAAGGGTGCACACTTAGTGCCAAAATGTCACACCTAGTGAGCTAAAGTACATGACTCTCCTATTCCTTCAGTTAAGTACATAAAAGGCAGATGTTGCAACATTTGCCTCACCTTCACTCAGAAGCATATAGGAAGGACAGTCAAGAAAGAGAAATATTACTGGAACTATGAATACACTGAATAATTGGCTTGCGATTGAAACCAGATTTGCATCCTAAATTGCCTACGTTTTTATAATCTTTAGGACTATATAGTGCCATCTGAAACAGACACAGATGACCAGGCACTTCAAGAAACTGTTTCTAATCATTTCTTAGATATTAGCTGCCTCTTCTGAATAGTCTGCACTTCACCAGAGGTGCTCTACCTGAACTCTACCTGAAGGAGCAGCTGAAAAATCACCTGCAGTTTGGATTCACTGTCTACTTTCTCTTAAAAGCAGTACAGATTAGACTGGTACAAACTACATGATGCCCTCACAATCCACTAAACTTCAGAAACAAACAGCTTGGTTTTTATCAGCAACACAATGAGAGCAGCAGAGCAGAAGCTCAGGCAGGTATCTGCAAGGAGAGATCAAGCACTTGCAGTTTTAACTCCCTCTGCTCAGGTTGACATACCCAGTGACCTATTCGGCTTGTTACAGCTGTGAGATTGGACATCTTTCAGATGGGATACATGTATATTCCTCCAAGTATTTGCACACAGCTCTGTACAACTTATTAAAAAACATGAACAACACCTCCCCCCCAGTATCCTTCTGCCTCCCACTGTTGTGTCAAACTGTATGATCAAATGCATTCACTTATCTTATTTAACTCCCAAGCAATTATGTAAGGACAATCCAAATCATCAGCTTTGTCATTAGAAATACCAAGAGCTCATTTACCACTTCAAGACAAAATTGAAACTCACTTTCTCCATGACAGAACGGGACACAGCAGAGTTTTCTACTGTAAATACCTAAAGAAAATACATAACAGTTAAAAGATTACATAGTAAACAGCAAGGGAAATATTTTGATGCCCTAATGAACTACATGCCCATTCTACAGCCCATTGTCACATGCTTCTTAAACAGTAACAAAATACACTCAATAGCTACAGGCTAAATAATGTGTTTTCACAGCTGCACAAGAAAAAAAAACATACACAATAGACTGCAACTATTTATTTTCCATTTTCAAGATGCACATAACATTGTTTGCTCTAGGCACGTATTACCCCTGCATAAATACAAGGATATTGCTAAAAAGGAAGCTCTTACAGCAAAATCCTCAAACCCAGGCTGCAGTCAGCTAGATGTTCAAATTTTTCTGACAGCAGTTTGGGGATTTAGGCTCATCCTGATGGGATCTTTAGGAAGAACTGATTTCTGCCTAGAAGTATGTGTATAAGGAGTGCATCACCCTGACTTCAGCTCAGCAGAGAAAGGAAACAGGTCACTTACAACTGACCCCATCACCAGTGTAACAAATCAACCCCCATCAGGTTCTTACCAGTTTTAAGTGTGGTTTAACACGATCTGATCATGCTAGCTGGAGAGAGCTCTGATGTGCACTGCAGCACACCAGCCTTTTGAAGCTAGTATCTCTATCCTTTATTCTATTTGATCTTTTAAAGCTCCTTTACCCACACTGTATTTTACAGTGTCAGTTCTACTGGTACCTTTCTGCCGAGAGAAGCTTTCCCAAAGCTAAGTATTTCAGAGGTTATCCAGAGTATATCCATTCATCTGCTCTTTCAAACGCAGAATAGATTTTTACTTCAAACTGTGTATCAGACATTAGATATTCCTGTATATTCAGTCCAATTGATTTTTCAGATTTTAGTCTGAAGGCCCTTTGCAAGCCCACATCACGTAAGGTATGTATGTAAGGGAGCCAGCCAGGCAATGCTCAGTCTTACATCTACACAGATTCGGTATTCTTAAAGCCTCTTATCTTGCTGTTACAGCCCTTTCACTTCAGAGTAGATAATAAATGTAATTATAGAATGGTGAACAGAAAAGAAAAAAAACTGCCAGACATTTTGGTCGGTAGAAAGAGTATTTTTGAAAGCACCAAGATATAAGAAGGTAAACAGCAATCAACGAGAAATGAAAAACAGCACTTCCATTCAAGGCTATGCACTGGTAAACATCAAAATTGGTTACTGTTATCTCCCTAGACTTCAGCTTGAACAGACAAATTTAGCCTGCATTTCAACACAATTGGAGCCTCCTTCCCATTTTGCACTGAAGAGGCTCTGGAAATAATTAAATAATGGGCCGTGGGTATGACAGAACCCAAAACACCAAGTTAAAATGAAAAGATCAGGAAAAAAATAAACAGGAGGAAGTAATATACCTGCTTTGCTCCAAGATAGTGAGCCAGCACAGGCAGCAGACTGCCATCACTGATGCAAAGGCAAACACTATCTGTTCTCAGAACCTACAGGAAAATAAATTGCCATTGTTATTCCTATTCCAGATGAAAGAGTTCGAGTTCTAGACATTTTGAAGACATTCTTCCCCACTTCACACAGTTCCATAGGAAATAAGGACACAATGATTAATACAAGCACTTCAACCAGAACAGATTACTCTAAGAAATGTTCATATAACCCCTTGCTTTAGGTCTGAAAAAGTCTGCACAAACACATAATGGGCGTTTAGAAGAATGTATGTTCTGACTTCCACATGTGATCATAAAAAGCCTGACTTCATCCAACCACCAATGCTGCTTTTCACAAGTAGACAGAGCTGCTACAAATTCCTCTCCAAAAATGGCTGCTTGATATTAAAGCAAAAAACGAATAATGAAAAAAAAAAACACCACTGAAAGGTCATACCATGACAAAATCCAACTTACATTTGGTGATGTAAATAAAATATACTTTATGAGCAAACTCCTTAGCAAGGGAGAAAGAGATTACAAAAATAATCAGCACAAACAAAATAATACATGCATCTGTCACAGAAGCCAGAAAACCTACAGGTAACATGCACTCACATTCATCAAAGACTTGATGTACTGGCGTGTTCTGTTCTGATCATTTAATTCTCCAAATCGTGGTCTATTCCAAAGAAGGTGAGCCTGACATCTACAAATTGGACTCTCAACACAAACATCTGCTTTATTGTCTTCTCCTCTGGAAGTACGTGTGGGGGAAGCAGAAATTAAATGAAAGATTAACTACAGCATCAGAGATTTGTTTTCCCAAACAGGTAAATTCATGCATTTTAACTAGCATGCACATTAATGCATATAGACTCCACTGGTACTTGTCCAAATTTACTAGCTCCCCAGTGACACTTTTTTAGACTTTGCATTTCAAAATAAAAGGAAGCAAAAAGGCCAATTTTTGCCTTTACAGAAAAAAATAAAATCCCACTGGACTGGTCTCTGGTAGTTAGATATTTTAGGCTTTGAACTTCTAGAAAAATAGTTGCTTGTTTGGACTCCTAATTGAACCTTTTTTTTTTTTTTAAAAAAAAGTTAAAAAAAAAGTCTTAGCTGCTACTGTCATCACAACCAACACGATTAAGCTCCTTTTGAGAGCTTAATCCTTATGCCTTTTTCTCAAGTTAAAAAGACGATGCTGACTGGGAATATAGGAAATGAAAAGATAAAATGGCAATTCCTTCACTCTCCTACCTACATTCCAGCTCAGCTAAGTTACGTTTTAGGAGTTCCAGGAACCAACTACAAGTAGTTTTTATTCCTCTGCTACACACCACCTCCAGGGATAACGCTGCAGTCCAAAGCTCAATTGTGTTTCTATGAATCACTTTTTTATTTTTTTCACTCATTCATTTAAACAAGTTTTAGTTCATTTAGATTTTTAGTAATTTTTGTAGTCTCTTGTTTTTTGTCTTCCTCTTCCACAAAACAGCACAGCTCTAAGAGCAAATAGTGCAGCTTAGAATAAGGTGTCACCCTTTTTTTTTTTTTCCTACATATCGTTACCTGGCTTTCTGCAGCTTATACCACACAGAGTACTCATCACGACAGGCAGTCAGGTACACCTTCTCACCCTGGAGAATTGGCTCCTCGTTTGGCAGAAAATACACACACTGCATCCAATGATCTCTCCACTGAAAAGGAGTTGAGAGACAAAACATTAGGGATTAACTCATAAATAGTACATGAGAAGCAAACAAATGACAGGAAATCAATCAGTAAGAATGCGCTTGACTTCAAAGCACTGATATATGACTAGTTGAAAGAACCCTGTTTATGTTAGCAGGGCTGACTAAGGCCTAATACTGGGTACTGAAGGCACTTGATGCAGATTTCTTACAACAGAATAAGCCAGAGACCACAAGCTTGCTGAGTGACTAAGTTCGTGTTTTATGAAATGAAAAACAAATTAAAAAAAATAATTTATTAATGCTGGTTTGCCTACACAGTTCACTTACATTAGAAACCCATATTGAATTAAAGACAGTGACCAATGTCTGCAGCTTCACGTATCAAATGAGCTCAGTTAGTGTCGTTTTGATATGACATCACCACTGTTTTGTGTTTCAAAAAGTTGTTTTCTGCACTGCAAGTGTTTTAAGCTGAAGTTTGATAGTCTTGAATTTTATTCTCAAACACAGTTAAGTGCAAGTGTAGTTTCTGTTTGACTAAGTTTATCCTACATGTCAATACAAAAACACAGGAGTCTGATTTAATAGTGCTTTCCCATTCCTCTAAATATCCAGTATCAACTCATCATTTTTCCACACCAGCCTTCTTCTTTATGGAAATATAAATATATTACCATAAAGCTAACACATATTTGGAAATTTAATACAATAACTACATGGAAGCACAACCCAAACTAACATTTTGACTAGGGATGGAGACTATTTAATGAAAAATATGTGGAAGTCTTTGTTTTATTTCTTGGAAGTAACAGAAAGAAATTAAAATTGTACGTCTAGAAGGTAGCTTCAGTTTTTAAGTTCTACATTAAAGCAAACCTAAAATGGGTGAATAATAAAGTTAGCATTTCTGTGTTTTATTTATCATTTTCCAATATGTAAAATAGTAGCAAAGTTCCTATACAGTTTACAAGACAGCTGCTTAAATCACCCAGTATGACCTTTACTTAAAATAATTACTGCAAGTCATTTGCTGAAAGTATCTGAAGGCTCAGCATTACCTGGAAAGCAGAAGTGGATTTTACCCAGTATGGAGCCATTGTGCAATTTATCGTCCCGGAGGGGTCCATGTCAATATCCCACCAAGAAAGGACGATTTGTGCCTTGCCAGATTTTACAGGCTCCAGCTGCACTCTGTAGTAGGTAGAAGCACTCCTTACGGGCTTACTGAAATCCACACTGCAGAGAAGCATCAAAATTATAAAAATACTCAGCACTCTTCAGAAATTCTCACCTGCTTCCTAAGCCAAATGCACAATTTATATCAAAAGCACAACAGGAAAATTTTGCTTTGAACAGAACAATGCCTAGCTTACCTGAACATTGTCACCACATCACTAAGGATAGTGAAGTCACTTGAAGGCATCTGGTTCAGTTGGATATCACAAACAGAAGGAACACCTGGACAGTTCTCCATTTCTGAAGGGGAAACAACAATTTTTTCACCGTCCTCTGCTTCAACACGAACAGGAAACAGTTTGTTCCAGGACCACATTCTTTTGGATTCCACTAACTGGACATACACTGTTGCCCTGTGAGGCACTGCCTCACATCCTTCCTGAGTGTTCAAAACAAAGGGTAGAAGCATTCAATAAACTGACTTCTTAACACACACGAGAATTAAATCAGCTGAAACATGAAACAATTTAAAGAAAAAGTAGTTGGACTGGAAACTCTGAAATCTTAAACTCCAAATATTTCAGAGACATTTCTCTTTACCCCTCTGTGAAATTTTATACTTATCCATCCTGTCAGATGTCTTTCAGAAGGCCAGATCACTTTGTTATATTAATGACACAATAGAACAGTTTATTTGCTGAGTTAAACTTGCATTGCAGTTCTCATGCTGAGATGAGGAATCTATTTGGAGCTTCTCCAGGCACATAATTATCAAGCTATCAACATTAACACAGAATTTGTGTTTTCAATGAGTAAATCAGAAAAATAATGGCTTAAATATTTATTTAATGACAACTTTTTGACCTTGATTAAAGGGCAAAAAACGTAACAATTGTTCTAGGAAAAACAATGTGAACTATGAGCTAACTGAATTGCAAGAACAATGCTTTTGCAAAACATACTAATTACAATTTAGAGTTAAACATGGGAAGCTGTACAGAGTTATGGAGTGACATTGTCTTTATATGTAAAACACGTGAAATGAAGTCTAGACAGCTAAATTGTCATCTACCTTTTAACTAAAGGGAAAAATTGAAAAGGGTAGAGGAGAAAGCCATAAAATTATACCCACGGATTACATGTCAAACAAAAAAACACTGGCTGTTAATTTAAATACACTGTTTAAACTATCTCCACAGGCAAAAAAACACTGGGCAGCAAGTGCCTCCTCTTACAAGGAAAATGAATGCCTAGGACGTGAAGTCCATCAAATTTATGAGGAGAAAAAAATTGCTTTTGAAAACATCTTGGAACCTATTTGCCATTGGAACCAACTACTAAGGAAAGCTCCAAAGTAGAACTAGATACCTTTCTGAAAGACATTTGCTAAGCAGCAAGTTATTAGTTTTAATATAAAATTAGGCATAATTTCACAGATGGTAATTTATGATACGTAGCCCAACAGCTTTATTCTAGGAATGAAGGTAGTGAATTATTATCTGAATAAGAAATTAGCACAGCTGCTGCATTATTTACAAACGCTACAAAAGCCTAAATAAAATATAACCTCCATCCTACTCCAAAAAAGACAAGAGTTTCCCTAGGAATAAATAACAGAATGTATTTTCTTACCTGTACAAGGTATTTGTGCGCATGCTCATATGTTGGTAAGGCACCTTCTCCTATCAGCTCTGTGTCAAATAATTCTGTTACCAGGATATTCGCACGACACTGCATATCTCCATCTAAAAGACATAATTTAATATTGTAATACTAAGACCGTATAAGCCTTTCAAGATGTTATGCTGAAAAGACAAGTCATTCAAAAATTTATTCCTGCCAGAGAACCTGCTGAAGAATGCAAAGTAATTCCCTATGGAAGTTTACTAAGAAATTAAAATGACTACTTAAATATTACTAAAAACACTTCCTTTCGAAGTAACCTCTCAATATTACTTTCTAGCGAAAAAAGAATTTCCTTTTTTATAAATTAATAACATTCAGAAAATAAGAAAAAGTCATATTCCTTCACAGTTTTGAAGTAGTTGCCAATGATTTTTAACCTAGCCTTGTATTTCTCACCTGGTCCAACTGTGACTTCAGTGGAGTGCTTGTTGATTACCTTGATCTTGTCACGAAAACCATTTTTCTCCACTATCTTCACAGCTGCATTAGCCATGGGCTTGAAAACCTGTAAATAGCAAGAGTATAACAAACCGGTAAGCTGACATTAGCTTTCAAAAGTACAACACAAAATGCAGCATGTTTAGCCCTGCAAAAATTCAACTGTATATTTTCCTGCAGTTGAAGTTCATTACCATGAAACAAGACAGCAAGCCTCATTTGAAAAGTTCATAGACTTCCAGTGTCACCGTTACCAACCCAGTTATCAGCTGTCTCCAAAAGCTACACCAATTTAGCTTTTGAAAACCAAAAAAAAAAATCTTATGATTTTTTAACATTTACATTAAACAGACTCATTATTTTTAAAAATTAAGATGCATATGCCTTATAAAAGGCTCTGTCTCAATAATAATAATAAAAGAAAAAAAAGCAACCAGCACTCAAATGGTCACTGGAACATTCCAAAAATGTGCTCTTACTGACACTGAAGAGAAGTTCTCTTTCCTTCAGAGTGAAGAGAATAATAAAGAAAGGAGATAGCTTGCAATCATAATGATGAAGAGTGTGTTGGAAGGGCTTAATGACCAGATTGTTTTTAAACTAAAAAAAATTAAATATTCTACCCAGCCACACAATTTGACTACTTAGGATAAGAAATTTGTGACCACCTTGGAACCTAGCCCAAGTTCCAAAGCAGGAATAATACATTGCTATTAGAACTTATGCACCAACAGCTCTAAAGACTGTGACCTAGGGACAAGCGAATGCTCTCTGTTTCTTCATATACATTAAAAAAAAAAGAGAACTTAAACTGGTCAAAATGTTCCTGTTGTTATCCTTAACATAAGTAAGAGCATCGTAGTCCGTAACAGCCATATCTAATCACAGAAATGGTATAATCAGTTTGTGAGACAGCTATTTTATTAAGATGTCATCCACATTTTAGTGGCCTTAGAAGCTACCTACAAGAGTTGAAACTTACAAAGATCAGCAATATGGTTTGAAAATACTCAAAATTTTCAAAAACATTAATCAGCATTGAGGCTTGTTAAGTAGAAAAGTCAGAACACCGTAAAATTTGACTTAGATGATCTCTACATTTACAAAAGCTGTCCCAAAAATGAAAAATGTTTTATGCCTTTCCAACTACATTCTTTTAAGATTTACCTTTTTCACACACATAAAAAGGCATCAAATTTGCACTTCAGAAAGCAAAGTACAGAAAAGCAAATGCACCCATGACTGATCATGAAGACACAACAACTGTAGTTAGAGGTTATAAACATGGATGCAAGCACGTGTAGCCAGTAACAACTGCTTACCTCAATTGCATAGCAGAAATCTGCACCTGCTGAAGCTGCCATCATAGACAGGAGTCCTGTGCCAGTCCCTATGTCGAGAACAATTGCTTTTTCACCTCTTTCTTTTACTCGGCTCACTGCAGCACGAATACCTTGGTAATATTTCATGTTCTGTGGAAATAAAAGTTTAAAAAAAAGGGGGGGGGTGTCAGCGACCTCTCAGCTTCATATTTTTGTGCAGAAATTTTGACTTCTCAGACTATATGAGTTTACAATCAGAAAAAGGCCTACAGACATTTTTTATGCTATACGGTCGTACCATCATACCAAAGCCATTGTCAGCACAGGCAAGCGTTTTTGGAGGGAGAAGTTCATTTACAGCAAAACAATCTCATCATACCATTCTCCTCATCACCAATCAGTCATATATTTACACTGCATGCATAATTTACAAATACAATTCATTTTTTGAAGGCAATAATAATAATACCCAAGTAAGATGCTACTGGTTTTGGTTTTGATCTTTTTTTCCCCTGAAGAATCACTAAAATACTCATATAGGGCCTACACCAGGGCAAGAGCTGAAGTATCTTGGATTTAGATTCCTCTCTACATCTACTGGAAGACATTTGTACATGAGAAACAACATATCTAAATAGCAGCTTTTGGTTATGTGCCATTAAGAGGGGTTACAAACACAGCAGTGTAAAACAGCTACTGAGTTTACACAGCTACTGAGTGTAAATATCACATTCTGCAGTAAACAGCAGTGTACTAGAGTCAGACATAAGAAGGCACCTCCTGATCCAGCAGCAGGTCTTGAAGAGTACAAATCCGAACACTTCATCTTTCAAAGAAACCTGTACAGTCATGCAGTGACAGCTTCTCAAGAAAAGAAAAATTAGTATTTTCTCACCGTTCAATAGTTTCTTGCTTCTATACTTACTCTGTCTTTATCATGAAGCATGTCTGCATAGCGTGATCTACAATAAATAAAATTGCAATCAAAATACTACATAGTGCAAAACACTACAGAACTGCACATATAACCTCCTTGGTTTTCACCTACTAATACAAATAGACTCAGGGCCCATGAGCATGTAGATAACCATGACACACACTTTAAGGACTCAAGTGATTTCTCAGATCTAAGGAATGAAGTCTGTTCACTGGTCTGGTCATCAGCATATGAGTGAACTAATTAACTGCTGGCATGGCTCTTCAGCACTGGATCCAGTACATAGATCAGACAGCTGTGAAATAACAGCTGGGACATATGCAAGTTCATACAAAGCCAAACAAAGCAATGAAAGGCTGTCTAATAATGGTCTATCATTTGTTACCAAGATTCTCTCACTAAAGCTAGCATTTGTTGTAACTTAGGGCACAATGCAATGTAATTCTCAAGCTAAATTAATAACCACTTGAGCCAGAAACAGCTGATCATCAATTATTTGTTGTGTTATGTATTTTAAAGAAATTTAGCCAACACACTTTGCCACAATTGGGTGAGTATTGGTATAAAAATCAGAACCTCAGAAAGTGTTTTTAAAAAATTGAAACTATTTGGAGAATACTTTACAAAATTCTACATCTATAATTCTGCACCATAAAACCCTGGGCACTGTAACATTTAGACTGTTGTACAGTCTGCTCATCTCATGCCCCTGGAATTTCTGCAGAGATAAAACAAAAAACTGACAGCAAAGCAAGTGGTGTGGTTATTTGCCAGCATACCTTGCAATTTCCTGATGGTAGTCATAGTTCTCATCCTCTTCTAACCACTCCATGGCACCAGTGGTCGGGTTAGCTCTTCCACAAAAGGTCTTCATGATCAACCTCTATTTACATATCATGCAGTTTTGCTGAACTGGCTTCAATATAACACTCAAAATAGCGTCTGTAAACAAGGAAACAAACAAACCCAGTGAAAACAGACATTACTTTCACTCTGGGTGCAAACACACACTTTCCTTCATACACCCGCCTCTGCCAGCACGCTGATCGCTGCTTCGAAGAGGATAAACGCTTTTTAAGATCAAACTTAGATTCAGCACAGAAAAATATGCGATCAAACGGCGTTGTCTGAAAGCAAAACGCCTCCCCACGCGGCGAAGCACCTCATGCCGGGGGAACCCCACAGCCTGAGGGCGGGCCCACAAGCTGACAGCAAACCGCTCCGGCGAGAAAGCAGCGTTTACCCACCTCAGAAATGAGCTGCGGGGGGACACGACGACCCACCGCTCCCTCCTCCCCGTCCCCAACCAGCCTCGGGCTCGCCTCCCCTCAAAGCACCGAGCAGCCGCCACCACGGCTCCCCCTCAGGCCGCCCCTTCCCGCCGTGCCCCGCGCGGCGCCATGGAGCCCGCGGCCAGCGGCCGCCCTCTTCCCGGCCTGCCCTGCGCGGCGCCATGGAGGCGGCCGCTGTGCTGCGCGTCCAGAGGAAGCGCGGCGGCCCCGAGCCGGCCGAGGCGCTGCTGCTCGCCTGCAAGCGGCCCCGCACCGAGCTCGGCTGGGGCCCCGGAGGTGGAGAGGAGCCTCTTCAAGCTGGTGGCCACCGTCTCCTCCAAGGTAGAGGCGCGGCTGATGCGAGGGGCTCTGTCGGGCTCCCTGAGCTTCCGTGAGCTGTGGGAGGGCTAGGGTTGGGGGCTGCCAGCTCGCTGTGCCGGGGCTCAGCTACGCAGCATGAGCCACCCACAGCTTTTATTTATTTATTTATTTATTTTTTCCTTGGAGCTGTTTTTCACAGGCGAGGGTGTAAAGGATGTTGTGGTTTAAAGGTAGGACCGTCAGAGTCTTTTCGAGGCAGGTGTTTTCATTTGGAGAGTTCTTCTATGCCATAAAGTATATGTGTCCTTAAATAATATAAGAACGGTCTTACAGTTTGCAAATATTTTGTATCTTCTTCCTGTATCTGGAGAACAGGCTGGCAGTTCCATTACTTGAAGCAGTAGGAGTGACTTGGGTGTTGTTATGAGCACTAGCACTGCAGCCCTCAAATAGGATGTGCCAGCAATAGCTGCTGCTCGCCTCCAGCGAGGGGCATAAGGAGTGTGGCTTATTGTGTTGACTGTGTCACTGCATCTATTCCTCCTCCTTCTTGTTCCTCTACCCAGAACGAGCCAGTTCAGAAGTACGTTCAAGAAGTGATCACTCGAGACAAAGCAGCGCAAAGCCTGCGGCCCTCCTTAGGAAGCGCTCAGCGGATCGCTCAGGAGCTCCGTTCTTCCAAGGAAGCGAAGAGGAAGGAAAATCGGTACCGTGTAATAGCCAGCCATCGGCCCAACGCACCCGCTGCAGATGGCAAGGCATCAACTGACAGTGACAGACCAGGCTGTGAAGCTACAGAAGATGCTTCGCAAAAGGAAACGAGTGCTGTTGATGAGAGTTCAGACTGTGGTGGGAAATTCCAGCTGTTTGATATTGTACAAGAAGACGAGGTGATAGAAGACCCCAGTGCAACTGCAGCAAACCCACAGGTCAGCAGATAGACTTAAGTGTACTTGGAGTACTTTTATGTCGCTGTTGACTGGTACATGTGGGCAAACTGACGGTTGTGGAAGTTTTTTTGCATAGTAAGTATTCCAGTGTTTAACAGGAGCTTTAACTAGGTATTTGTAAGTTGGAATAGTTAATACATTGTACGAGAAGCAACTTCTATGAGGACCCTAAAGTGCAGTAATGTTGTTGAAGAAGCCATATGGAGTTGGCCTCTACAGGAAAGACTTCTACTACTGTTTTTTCTGCACTCTGTTCAGATGCATTAATGCTCATGTTCATCTGTTAGGTGGATTAACGAGTGTGTGTTTCTTTTTTTTTTTAACTTTTGTACTTGCTAGAAAAGAAAAAAAAAACACAACAACCACCTAATTCAATGTATTCTTATCCATCCAGATGCCTAGGAATGTCACTTATAGGCAAGATTTACCAAAGGAAAAAATAGCTTTGAATGTCCCCTTCTTGTAATTCCAATATACTTTTTTTTCTTTAGTATATGTTGTTTCTAGCAGTATTCCAGGTGTTTGATAGGCTACTTAGCCCCTGTTTTCATCAGTTAAGTATGTCTTTGATTGGACGAATATCTAGCTCAGTATCTACAATGGCTTCAAGTATGCAGAAGCTCTGCCTTCTGTGTAATGTTTCCATGTATACAGAATATTAAGAAGATTTTGTATTTAAAAGACTCTTCTCCATACAGAAAAGGAGGTAAAAGGGCTGTGTATGCATTCTTTAGTAGTTGTTCCACTGTAAGTGAAGGATGGTTGCTTGACTTACGCAGCCCATCACAGCTCTGAGGAAAACACAAATGCTTTGTTTTAAAGTAGAAAATATTCTGGTGAACCAGTGCAGAACCAGCTATCATCCTTTAGCATTTCTTGTAGATCATTTTAGAGCTTTGCCATCAAATTTCAGTATGAATTCTTGTGTTAGATGCCTGAGATTTGTTAGTTGAACTGTTACTTATCACTCTGCTGTTCAGAAAACCACAGATAAAATTGAGTAGCATCAGAGCTTTGTTCTTACTCTGTTAGAGCTAGCAGTAAGTGTTGAAAGGAAGAAGAAAAGCTTTCTCTTTGATTCTGTAAGTATTTGGAAGTGAATGAAAAGCCAGTCTGTAGCTCCTCCTCAGAAATACTTAAGCAGTTTGGGGGATACCACTGGTGTGGCAAAAAATATTCTGAAAAAGTTCTAGCAGAGAAAAAATGGCAGCAAACATCAGCCTGTAGACTTTTAAAGGCAGGTCGCTAAAGCAAAGATATTGCAAATGATTTGTTAGGAAGGAGAAGGCATGAATAAATTTCTTCTGTTTTAATGAGGAGATAAAGGAAATAAAAGGCCTCTCTGCAGGGCCTGTCAGTCTTTTCCTGTTGATTTGTCACATCTTCATTATTCATCCTATAGACTTGCATTGTGTCAGTGCTGCTGTATGCACACCTTTCCTGCAGTGTTACAAGCATAATGCTCTACAAAGCACAGGCTATCTTAAGGCATGGCTTTTCAACCCATACATCTTCAGAAGCAGATTAACAGTTGTACAGGATTATTCATATTCCTTCAGCAGCTTCTGATGAACTTGTCCCCATTTTTCCTATTATCTGAAATGAGGCATAGCTGCACAGTACTACAGTAATTGGAAACTTCTTTGGGGTCTTTCTGTTTTAAATTGCTAATGTTCCAAATATCAGTGTTCCAATGGGAAAATGTTTCGGTGTAAGATTTCAGAATGTCATCCTTAGCTAGCTGTTGGCTACAGTAACAAACACAAAAGAAAAAATATATTAAAAATAAATAATAAGATTTTGTGTTTGGCTTCAGGAGAAATCTTTTTTTTTCCAGCAGAAAAGTGGTGATCCAGATGTGATTCTCTGCAATGCAGTAGAGATGATCCGTGAGCGTTTACATGTTTCTGAAGATGATAAAAAAGTGGAACACCGTGAGAAAGAAGATGAGTACGTTTATGACATCTACTGCATGGAAACATCAGTTCCTGTCTGGATCCATAATATCCTCTCTGTACAGCCTTATAAAGAAGAATATGAACTGGTAAGGGTGTGAAAAATAGACCCTTCTTAAGTAGAAAGGTTGTGAATAAATGTACTTAAGAGTTCTATGACAAAAAGTTGCTGTGCCAACAAAGATAGTTTGAGATGCTACCCTTATGCTCAGTAACTTCTGTAGTAGTGTTTCTGGAATTGCCACTTTTGTGCTCATTCATGTTACTGTCAACAAGCAAATTATAATATGACAATGAAAACTGAAGGGATGAAGCTCAGGTACTAAGAAGAATTCAGCAGGCTTCAAAGTGACAAATTTTGACATGGAAACATAAACTTAAGTAATTCACATCTCATTTGTAAGTAGGAGGCAGTAATTAGTGTGTTGTTGGAGACACATTTGGGTGGGAAAAGGAGCAAGGGAGGATGTTTTCAATTTTTGAGGACCTGACTTTATAATATTAATACAAACTATTTTCTTGTGATAAAGAAATGTCCTTCAGTGACTGGAGTTAATTAGTTAAATATAAGCTTTATTTTTTCAATTCATGGATACTGTAATCAGACTTGCATATCAGGAGCCTGCAGCTGCTTTTTCTTGACCTATTAAAGAACTGTTGAAGTGAGTATGAATAATTTAATGTCTAAGTTTAGCATTTAAATGCTGAAAAAGAACACTGAAATGCATGACTTAACTGACTTTTCCCCTAAAGCAAATCGCCATTGCAACACATTTTTCTACAGTGTGCTTTGTGCAACTGTTGAATAATTGCTTGCAATAGATAAGTATCTCCTGGCTCTTTAAAATTGTTGTAGAGGTAGATGAAAAACTGCTCACTTCAAAGTAGCTGTATTAATAATGAATGTTGTGTTCTGTGTTGATATGCAGGTAGATGATGATCATGTTCCAGGGGAAATATATGAAGACGAAGATGATGAGAACGATGAAAATAACTGGCGTAATGATTATCCTGATGAAGATGAATTCTTAGCAGAGGAAGATGATGATGATGGAGAAAAAGGTATGCCTCTCTTAAATATTATTGGGGTGCATGCTGAAGGAAGACGGTAGGGGGAGCTGAGGCGAACAGTTAAATTGTTCCATTGTGTTTTGCAGAGCTAACATGTAAGATAGTACCTGGCTTTAAAATATATAAATCTTACTTTTCTGGATGCACAGGATTTAAGATCAGAGGTTTTGGAAACTTTTTTTTTTTTTTTTTTTTTATAAACAGAGATTTATCTTTCTTTGAACTACAATGGATCTTGGTGTTTTTGCAGTCAGAATTAAGAAGTCCATTTCAGGCTGCTGCAATTGCAAAGGATTGCTTATTTCGAGAAGGAACAGATGACTTGGTTCCACACGCTTGTGAAACGGTCTTCGCTTTCTTAACTCCCCATTGCAGCACACAAGTAGAATCAAATCTCACCTAATACACATTAATACAAAGTTTGAACAACTTCTGTATCGCTTAAGAAGTTCCAGTAGCCTGATAAACCTAATTGTTGAACTGAAACCAAGAAATAACATAAATGTGTTGATGCACTTTTCCTTAGAGTCTGAAGACAGTTCCAGTGATGACGACCAATGTTACAGACGAAGAACATGGAGCAAATACCGTCAGGAAGTCCTACAGGAATTTGGATACGATGAGATCCAGGATGTGGATTCAGACTAATAGCGTTTTTTTGAAGATGAGATGTACAGAACTGGTGCAGTAGGACTGAAAATCCAGACAGCTGCTGACGGCTATTCATAAACATTTTGAAGGGAAAAAAAAAACAAAACACCTGGGAACGCACTTTCTGCTAGAAGTTGTGCTTGTTGGGACAGTAGGAAACCAGTCTTCATGTAGATGAGCTAAATTTTTGTGTGGCTGGCTTTAAGATAACATCGTGAAACAACTGGTGACTGGCATGGTTCACCCTGATACTTACTGCCTAGGTATGACTATTAGATTCTAAAAGCTTTTTTTTTTTTTTTTTTTTTTTTTTACACTATCTGAGCTGTCACCAATGTTCAGTCAGCATCAGCTGATAGATATTAAATAAGTGGGTATAAATTGAGACACTTGATAATACAAACTTTCTTTCCAAGCAGAAGATACTATGTGATTTAAAAGAGATTGTTCCACCAATGCTGCGATGCTGGGGTTGTGACAGGAAGCCTTCCTGTCATGACTAATCATACGGACATGAACAGATCTGCCACGAGGGCACATAGGAGTGCCAGAAAAGGCACTCTCTCCTATTGCTTTCTACTGTGCTTGTTCCTATGTTTCAAGTAACCTTATTTACTTGAGCATGCAAAATGCCTTTGAGTGTCTGTTTTATTGCTGGATCTTTCCGAAACCCAGTAACTAGGGTAGAAAAATACACGTGCGTTTGGATTGTAAAATAAAGAATCTTTGACTAAGTTTTCTTCACTTATTTAAAGATCAGGGAAGCTGGTTCAGCTGAAGCAATATTAGCATTAGAACAGGTTCATCTTTCTTTAACTTTGCACAGGTCTTATTTTCTGTAACCTGGGTTTTGACTGCTGATACTGACCGATGTTGTGATGTTGCCTAGCAGAATCAACACCTCTCAAGCTTTTGGTTTTTACCTTTGTCAGAGAAACAGACTGCAAATTTTTTTTTTTTAGTCTGGATAGCTAAATTTTTATGTTGACTTCTTAGCGTACCTGCTCCAGTCCATAATAAATCTGAGACTATTCCTTACCTTAATCATACATCTATTTAAATTAGATGATTGACAAAACCCCTATCTTACTCCATTTTCTTTGCTTCTAGCAAGAAGTTCTAGGAATTGCGTTTACCCTTTTTTTTCAGCATTATGTTGTCTTTGTGCCTTTGCAAAGGGAAAGCCTCCAACCGTCTTCTTCGGAGACAAGTGATCACTGTCTGGCATCTGAATCGTAATACACAGAACAAGCAAAAGCTAAGCCACAGCAACCACCAAAGCCTACCGAAACCGTACTGAGTGCCATGTTCTGTTGTGTAACAGTTATTGAAAATGCAGGTATTGTCATTCCTTGTTGACGTGTGCAGAATTAACGCCTGCAAGAATTCTTATTATCTTACACTGCTTCCACGCATAGTTAAACTTCCTTTGAGTCCAGAAGAAAGCAGGGTATTGAATGTTAGTCTCTCTTTGGTTTAAGTTTCTGGAAAGGTACAGCTTGTTTCCTTTGTTAGATACTTTGCTTTTGCTATACTGCAGATACCAGCTGATAACCTGGTACCATCACCTTTGTAACTTTACATGCAGAGTGTATAAAAATGTAACTTGTCCATCTGGCTGATCTTTAAATATTTGAGGACTCTTACAATACTGAATCTCTCCTCCAGTATTGAGTCACTTCTGCAAGAAGGATCCCCCTGCCCTGACAGTTACCCATTGAGGCACTAAAACTATTTCAGCACCCTCCTACTTAAGTCTGTAATAAATGGCTAATAGCATGTTAAATTAACATCTGTCATGAGCTGTAGGTTGTAGCCGGGACTTTAAGGTCAATTAATTCTGGCTGGTGATGTCAAGGTAGTGGAGGCAAGTTTGGTTTTTTTCTTGTCAGGAAGGTTACTATGACTATCAACCTATACCCCAACCCTAGCCTGTTAAAGCTATGCTGCTCCCTGGACAGATGTCTCAACCTAGTTACTTTGAATTAACTCTAGTTATATGCAAGGCTAAAAAGCTACAGTAGAATAGCTGAATGCTTATATTAAATAGCAAGAAGTCCTTACATGTTTATGTTCCAACTATGCACAACTCCTCGGCTCACATTTAACAATTAAATTCCAACGCTGCTTCATAAGCATAGCTCAAGACTCCATTATGTGTCAATTTTTAACATCTTCTGCAACTTTCAATTATCTGCAGTTTTCTGTTCAAGATAACCTTGGTCGAGAAGTCAGTACAAGATTTCAACTACTCTGTTATTCAAATGAACAATGCAAACATGCAGCACTTAAAGCATGCATGGATTCAGCCATAATCTTGTGGTTATGAGATTTAGTTCACCTTAAATGCACACATTTACTAACTGCCCTACATTAAACTAAGCTCAGCTGAGATCAACATTCTGAATTAAGTTAAAAATCCAAGGAATGCTTTTGAAGTTGAAGTTGAGTGTTTTCTTGCTTTGTGGGCCAAAGAGGCTGGCTTCATGTTACCTTTTGCTACACTAAAATTCAGTATCAGTGTCCTGCTGTTAGCATTACAGCTTTGGAATTCCAAATACTGCTTATTAGCATCAGTCCATATGGCAATATTATTTATTCTTGGTTTTATTGTTATCTTCTCTCCCTGCTACTTAGCTTTCAGGATAGAAGTGCTGCCACGGATCACTACTTCTGCTGAAGGAGAAAAAAAGTGGTTTGTTCTGTGAGTTTATGGATGTCATTTTCTAGTAAAAAGCAAATTCAGAAAGGAAAGTTTCTGCCTGTTGAAGAAATACTGCTGTGTTCACTGAAACAGTTGACAAACAAATGCTTACAAGCTTCAGACCGAACATTTTAATTTTTGAAACTTATGTAAACTGTCAGAGGATGACCAAGTACTAACAAGATAGCAGGAAAGAATTAGCGCATAATCATTAAATCCTAAATCAAATCTTCAGTGCCAAGGAATCCAGATATTGTGAAAGGTGCTTTGTTGATTAAGTCCTTGCCAGAGACACATACTACATTTCTATGAAGCATATAGAAATAATATGTTCCTCTTCAAGGGAGAAAGTCTTTAAATAATGTAGCATAACTTTATTAATTTTTCTGCTACTAATGACAAATTATGGGGGTTGTGACCAGTTGTCTTCTGGGATAAGAACTGAGCACAGCAAATCATTTCATGCAAACAACCATCAGAATTAAGTTGGAAACAGCCTTCAGTCTTTTGCCTCAAAGTGGTTTTCAGTTTAACTTAAAAATGCATTACTGTCTGGTTCTGCAGACATCTGATTTGATCCATTAGCTCTTACCATTGTACTACCAATTCTGAAGAAAATTCAGAACGAACAGTATTGACGCATAGCTTGTGTGCTTGAAATGAGCAGGTAATTATCTAATGAAAACAGGCCATGAAAATATGCCACAGTTGAGGAGGATGACGTGAGGACAAGATCTATGCAGGAATCCAATTGCAAGTAAGTACACTTTCAGTATTTCTGAAAGACCACTGGAAATAGTTTTCATGTTTTCTCCGGTTCCATTCTCTTCCCTTTCTTGTTGTAATTGCTTTAGCCTCCCTCCTGTTCTTATAATGGCTATGAGATTTTAGTTAGATTTGATTTCTAGTTTCTTTTCTTCATTTGTGTCCATCTCTGTTAAAACACAGCAACAGAGCAGCTGCATGTTTCGCGTGACTGTACCTGTATAGGAAATCAAAGATAAATCAGAAAAATAACCACTTCCCTCAACTTACACAAAATATATCTGACTAACAAAAGTTAATTGTCAAGACTGCTGGCTCACTTCTATTACGGGAAACACTAACCAGAAAAATTAGCACAGAAAATATTTTCCACTCGGTATTTTTAAACAATGTTTAAAGCTGTTCTGGTAATTTTGCTGATCTCTTGCCTAGGGTGTTTTTCCTCCCAAAAGCTCTGCCAAATAACTGAAGGAAAATCCTTTTTCTCCGTAACTAAGAGTGTAGAATTGGTAGAATAAAAAAAAAATTAAAACCACAAGAACTTGAAATAGCACACAGTAATGACAATATTACTGTGTATTTATATATTCACTAACTGCTACAGCACCACATCCTGTTGCATTCTAAGATTATGCTATAAATCTTCGTTTCCACATCCCTTAGCAGGGTTTTCTCAGCAATGATGACAACAGTACACTGCTAGGGAGAAATGGATAATTTAGCTGTGGACATTCAATGGAAGGAAAATTCAACCTGTGACTGACATAAGATCTAAATTCAAACAGCTGATTCAGTACAGTAAGACAGCTCACTTGCATTGCCAAGAATGCCTGGCCCTTTTACAAAGATCAACCTTGGTTAAGAAAAAGACTTTTCAGCTGCTAGTCTAGAGAGAAATGTAGAAAAAAAATAGGACAATATCTGTAGAAAGCAAGTAGTATTTTAAATATATAGTGAATAAAAATTGGGTGCATAGGCATGTATAAAATCAGTACGCCCTTCCACTGGGTCTTCCTGGGATACAGTTAATATTCTTCACAGCAGCCCATATGGTGCAAGTGCTTTGGATGCATGGCTAAAATAGTGTTGGTGACAACCAGTTAGTTTTCTCACTTCTGTTCTTCCTATCCTTTCCCCCATCTTGCTGGGGGTGGACAGGTAGGGAATGAATGAGTGGCTCTGTGGGTGCTTAGCTACTGACTGCTGCTGCAGTGTTCAGTCCACCACAATCCTTTCCACCAAAAACCAGAATCACCTTATTTTCAGCTTTTTTTTTTTTTTTTTAAACAACATCTACATCTTCAAACAGACTTACCTAAAATCTTGTTGATAAACTGAGGTCTCCTTGATGCAGGTAAATAGACTCCCAAGAAAAAGACTGGAATTCCAGATAAAGCGATGGCAATTCCAATCAATGAATTTATGGTGTCACTATAGAGTGGCACTACCACCAGAAATACTGAACATATACAGAATATTATGGGGAAAACCACACTCAGCTGGAGAAAAAAAAAAGAACAAAATGTTACTGAGAGACTGATTTTCTACAGTTGCATATATTCTGGTGAGAATTACAGCCTCTTCTCTCTGAACCCCAATTTGTGAAGTTATCTGCTCGTTTTCTTATGCATCTGACTATTTAGTTCTGTAAGAATAGTAGAATTACTCTTCAATAGAACTACTACTAAAAATTACAAGACCAGTGAAATATGGTAGGTCTGCCATGTTGAAAGAAACTGTAGCAGAATGAAGTGTTTTTAGACAAATCCAATTAATCTCAGGAAACATGAATGACATTTTCATGAAGCTTATCCACTTAAAGTAAGAGAAAGTGATAAGAGGATAAGATATTGAACTGAAAACACCAGCAGAGCTAAATGTGTTCTACTGTAACAGAATTAACATAAGCATTCCTAACTTCAGATTTCTAATCCAAAAAAAAAAAAAGTTCACTACTATGTTAACCTATTGAGCTCCCTAGTTGACAGAGAGCTCACTAAACTCACATTAAAAAAAAGGAATATGCTATTATAATACTCACGTCTTCTCATCTAGTACACAAACTAGCTTTCATGGGACACCATGGAATGGAAGCCATGTTTTATGTCCTTATCAATTTGTAAGCTTCAGGAATAACACGTATGGTCCAGATTTCAGGTAGTTAATTGTAGGGAAGAGGGATTTTAAGTAATGTATTAAGTAAATTTTACCTTAAGAGGTCTGGGTCGGTCTGGTTCCTTCCACCGTAGATATAATTGGCCAGCA